ACAATCCGGTATTTCTTACTCGTGTGGCACCTTTCAAAATATTAAGTTTGAACGATAATCCAATATTTCTTTTTCGTATATATGCCAATGGTTATTTCATTATCCAAGTAAATAATCTATATTTAATTGGAAGCACATTCAAAGTATTAAGTTTGAACGACAATCATATAATTATTCATCTATATAATCTACGTTCATTGAAAGCACATTTCATAGTATTGACTTCGCTCACTGATGGAAAAGATAATATAAAAGCGGTTATATTATTTCGTTAGAATTAATCCAAGAATGCTGTATTTCAGATAGTTATTGCTGTTTTCTGAATGGAATGTACAATCCTTTCCAGGCCGATATTCCATATAAAGACAGTATTGGTTCGCTGAGTTCACCCCGTTTTTACAGCTGACAGATCTCGACCATAAATTGAAGATTAGAACTATTCAGTAGTCGATAGTTTGCTGCTTACCGCGCTCTTCCGTCGGTTTTTCGTCTAGGGATGCATACAAATCATTGTAATGAAATTGAGACTGTTTGTTAGGTCCGCAGAGGCTTAACCATTTCAATAATTACATTGTGTTGCAGGTGCAGCGAATAATTTTGTTTTAATTAAAGCCAGAGCGGAAAGTAACTTTATTCTATAGATATATACTGTCACCATCTGGGTCTAACAATACCAATCATCTCCATCGTTTATTATCAATTTCTTTCTCGCCATTCTCGACATCCGGGCTTCTTCGTCTTCTTTCGAAATTTGTGGACTCTCTAGAGGTCACAAGTTTCTTCTGATTTTGATGAAACTTGAAATGTAAGTTTATAACCCAAAGATCTCGGTTCCTTTCGATATTCGCACATATTGGACCGTAACTACCTGAATTATGGCCCTTGATTGTACGAAAAATCGCGTTTTTAGCTTGTGGACCCTATAGAGGTAATAATTTTTATCCGATTTTAAAAAAAACGCTTGGATATCTCCTCGTTACAAAACTAAGGGTGGTTGAGTTCGAATTTCGTAAAAATAGGACCAAAACTGACAGACAAAATGGCCGCCCCTCGTACTCAAATAGGGTAAAAATATGATATATCAAGGTTGTGACTCACTAGAGGTCACAATTTTCTTCTGATTTTCATGAAACTTGAAATGTAAGTTTATAACCTAAAGATCTCGGTTTCTTCGATATTCGCACATATCGGACCGTAATTTCCTGAATTATGGCCCCTGATTGTACGGAAAATCGTGTTTTTAGCTTGAGGTCCCTCCAGAGGGCACAATTATTACCCGATTTCAAAAAACGTTTTAATATATCACCTTTACACCCTATGGATGGTTGAGTTCGAATTTCGTGAAAATCGGACCAAAACTGACAGACAAAATGGCCACCACTCGTACACAAATAACGTAAAAATATGGTATATCAAGGTTGTGGACCCTCTAGAGGTGACAATTTTCTTCTGATTTTGATGAAACTTGAAATGTAAGTTTATAATCCAAAGATCTTGGTTCCTGTCGATATTTGCGCATATTGGATCGTAACTTCCCGAATTATGGCCCCTGATTGTACGAAAAATTGCTATTTGTTAAGCTTGTTCTCTACCCATCTCTTGCAAAATGTGGGCGTATCCTGCCAGGCAGCCGCTGGTTTTTCCACAGGGACATTTGACCCATTACTTATTACTATAAACCTCGTATGCAGAGGATAATGTTAAGCACCGCGATGGCTACGATATAACACCCACCTAAAATTATCAATGAGTAACCAGTGTAGAGACGGATAAATCAAACGAAACAATTAAACATGCATTATGCAAGAGCTAAATCTGTCTATTGCAGGTCTTTCTTTAGGCCTGAAATGTTTTCTAAAGTATTAATTAGACATTAATTAACTGATCCAGACCTTAATCAACTCTCGATGGCATCAGATTTCTCCGATATTAAATAGATTAGAATGGTTCAGCGATACTTTGATTTTATCAAATATGGAGGACCGAGACTTAGCTTCAATCAACCAGTACGGCTAATATATTCGCTTGCGATAGAGTAATTTGAATGAAATTTTCAAATTATTCATTTTACATCATCTACTTTCGAACTATTATAGCAAGAATGGCTAGTCCTTCATCTAAATCTTACATAATGTATCTTTAAGCTTCTTCATTTAAATGGGGTTTAACATCCCGCGTTTCTGCTCCAACTGGGCTGGCTAATGAAGACGGGCTTACATACGCCATACAGTGTGCTATGAGATTTGCCCGGACAGCGGCACCGTGGCCTATTCTTATTTCAAATTCCAACTATCAAGGGTTCTTGTTTGTCACGCCTCGGTTATTCGTCCCATCCGAAAGACCCCTTCCTGCACCACTAAGAATTACATCAATTAAGTGCAAAAGCACAATTAAAAAGGAACGAAAACAAGTTTTATGTGACCTCCTTAAAAGTTACAGAGCCCTCGATAATTTCCGGTGCAAAAAAGTCAAATTATAGGCCAACTTCTTTTTTAGGTTGAAATTAGCGTGATCTAGTATAATTTAGTTGAATACAGATGTGAGAGTGTTATTTATTGTCTTAGTTAATTGAAGTATCTCGTTTTATCTCACTTTGTTGATATTTTATTTTACCAGATAACCGACTTGATCGATTTTTCATCAAACGAGTCTTTAAAATCCAATGCAAAATATTCTACCATTATATATAAATATTTAAACCAATTTTCAGAAATAACTCTTATAATGGATATAGCAGATTTTTAAAACCTTTTGCGATAAAATAAAATGTTGCTTGAAACTCCCACGTATGTGAATACATAAATATTTGATGGTATAACATTTTTTTTACAACTGAGTGGAGTTGCATACACAATGTTTGACTTACTAGTTATAGAGTCGATAACTGCATTATGTAAGATTTGCTATAACAGTTCAAACATAGATAATGAAAAATGAATATATTAAAAATTTCAGTCAAATTACTTTAGTTTTTAAGTTTTGTCAAAATGTAGTCTCGATTATCTATTTTATCGTTAAGCTCTTAAATGGCCACGGTATTCTAATCAACTTGAAATCAGAGCCATTCGATGGCCCATGAAGTTGATTGGGGGATTGTCAGGTTAATATTAAGTGTTTAAATAATAATTTATATATTTGAAGCAAAAAAAAGGCAGATTTAGCTCTTACACAATGAATCTTCAAGATGCGTTTATGATTACCCAAGAATAAATATAAACACTGGCCGTGGATACGATATGATTAATAATTCGAAAAGGTCGGGCTGCACAGCATTTGTGGAACTGGACTAAAGACTATAATGCCTCGGGATCGTGAAGAACCTTCGGGATTTTTCAAGACCGACTTGCACCACTTACCATCGGTGGAAACGTGCATTACCTAGTCCATTGGAACCCCCCCCCCCCCAAAAAAAAAAAAGAAATTGACAATTACAAATCTAAACATAGTAGGTTGCCAGTGGAATTTCATTTGGTTGTTAATAAGTGGCACGCATGATCTGTATCAAATTAATTAGGTATTTCAAAACGACGAATAGAGCTAAAATAAATATTAAGAAGAACAGCATGTATTGTAACGCGATGTGTGTGCGTCTGAAGTTTATCACTACTGGTATGCTACCCAGGGGCGCAGTCTATCGCCAAAAATCAGTTGTGGGGACAGTCCATGCGCGGGCGACTATTGCTAAAGAGGGGGGTTATGGGGTCCTCCCCCGAAATTTTTTGAAAACTAGAGGCTCTAAAACGCACTCTGTGGGTATTTTCAGCATCATTTTCTGGCAGCAAATGATACGAAATATAACCGAACGCCGCTGACGTGAGCTGCAAGAGGTTGGATGGGAGGGGGGGGGGCTTTTACAATTTTTTAAATTTTTGTTACAAAATGATGTCTAAATATGCATTCTCAGCGATTCTGAGGAGTTTTTACCAATAACAAAATAGTTCAGAGAGCAACTTTTTAATCTAAATAAAGTGTTTAATATATTTAAAGCTAAAGAACAGTACACTTATATCCACTCTGTCCGTTTCTTTTCCCTTTGTCTTCTTTCTGGACGGCCCGTGACAGGTTTTAAAAAAATGTCTTTTCCGATAAATTTCCTAAATTTCTAAACCATCTTCAAAACAGCAAAATGTAATAATAAGTACACGATTCTTGGCTCAGCTTACTGTACTCCAAAAAATAGAGGGTTCGAGTCTTAAATTTTAGATTTAATTGCCTATATTCCACAGAGAGAGATAGAAACCAGTCTTTAAAAATACGTTTATTTAGTCTGGCAGCAAATCTAGCAATGAAGGGTTCCCCTGATATACAAACTAAATCCTTTAGTTAGGTGATTTGTCATCCAGTATACCAGATAAAAACAAAATCTCAGTTATTCCTTTAATAGCGTATCAGATATGCACACCTACATGATATACATATTATTATAATCCCTATGGAATATTTTAATAATTTACTGTTATAATATGAATTATCACTTATTCCCTGTTAAATAAAAATCGATCACCGAGTGCAGCTGTACAACTTCAAGGACCCTGGCCTCAAGTGCCTGGGACCAACTCTAATTTGAAATAATTCCTTAGCTTTTATTGACATTTCAGAAAGTGTAGATAGTCTATCTACACTTTCTGAAATGTCAATAAAAGCTCTGGAATTATTTCAATTACAAAAAAATAAACAGTAAGCAAAACATCGGAAATAACTGGTGGGGACTGGGGACACAGTATATCATGTCCCCACAACTAAAAATATTGGTGGGGACGGGTCCCGGTGTCCCCACCGGTATCTGCGCCCATGATGAGGCTACCTACTGCATATGTCGAAATAGGATCAGTGCTGTTACACTGAAAATACCATTATAACATATAAAAAAAAACTTGAAATGCGCTTGTGAAATTTAAATAAATTACAAAGATATCATCAATTTTAATGTAGCCTGAAATGTCTGTGCAGTCGATTTTAAATCCCCGTGTATTCTGCTTCCAGCCAACAGAAGGTCAAAGGGAGGTAACTCTATTTTACCACCAATTCAAGATGGCTACCAAACGTGTAGGTTATTGATGACATTCCCTTTTAACCATTATATTTCTTTTATTAGAAGGAATTTTTCGGTACCATGCATGTTGACCAAATTATATTTATATTATGCTACTTTCTGTTCAATAAATATTTTAATTTCTGCCCTGTTTCATGAGAAACATCAGTGCATGCAGTGTAATTCATCGTTACCGTAGCAAAATTGAATGATTCTGAAAAATGAAGTTGTGTTTAACCTCCAAAGAAGGACATATATATGCCATGTAGTGTACTATGTAGGGGAATTTTGCCCCACAGTTGCGTAACGACCTACTCTCTTTCGAATTCGAACTGTCCAAGGGTTTTTTACGCACATGCCAGAGTCCCCGGTTTATTAGCCACAACCGAAAAACTAGAAAGACACTGTTCATACATGTAATTGCCAGCCAGGCCCAATGAGTCTTTGTCCTGCACCACTGACAAATTGAAACCATGCTGTCAAATCCAATGGAACTTTTTCAGCCAAGAACAGGATTGAAGCTTCAAAAAACATACAAATACCTTGTCCATGTTGCGACGTGGGTAGCTAGCTTGCTAAATGTTTTGGGATTTATACAGAGGGCTAAAATACCACCCAGATCGACAGCTCACTAAAGACAACTGCAATATCAGATAATGACCAAATAGCTGATAATTAGTTACTATTAATACCAGTAACTTTATAATTGTTAGTAATTATTCTACGTGCTATATGTTGGGGGCCATAGTCAGGTGTCTCAGTGGGTATGGCACTAACCAGGGGGTCTGCCAAATTATAATGTCAATTAAATATATTTGTTTATTGATGTCTTTCGAAAATTATACACACTTTTAAAGTGTGGGAATAAGTGTGGGAATAATAATTCAATATTTTTTTTTTTCATTTAAAGTTGTTGTTGGCTGGTGGAACTACCGCGACAATAATGGCATCAATACCAGCCCTGAAACTTCATGCTGCAGAAACTTCATCAGAATCTAAACAAATCAAGATTACCGAGGTAGGCCTACAACTTAGTACATAGGATAATCAAGATTACTGAGTTAGGCCTAAAACTTAGCATAGGTTAATGCAAATGTACGATTGTTAAGCCAAACCTATTTAATGATAAATAAAAAACACTTGAGTCTCACCAAAAAAGTGTTTTATTTAGAATTTAAAAACTTGAAAATGAGGAACTAAAAGCTTTTGATAAAAGCAACCAAGTGTTCTTAGTTTTAAAATTATTACTTTTTCCCTTAAAAATAAGGACATAGCTTTTAAATAGGTGTACTCTAAAAACAAAAGTTTAAATTGATGTTACCTTAACATAATTGATGTAGGCCTACACAGTGCATGACCCATTTACCAATACAGTTTTATTAGGCATGAGAAATATGCTGTGTACGTAATGTCTTGATAAAATTCGCATATCATAAGATTTTGCAAACAGATACTACTAAAAATTTGTGAAACGTTAAACGGTTGTGTATAATTTTTTTTTTCCCCCGCCTTTCGAAGAATGCAGGGGACTATTAAAATGGGTCTGTCTGTTTGTCTGTCTGTCTGTCTGTCTGTCTGTCCGTCCCCGTCCGGACGTCCGTCTGTCTGTCTGTCCGTCACACTTTTTGGGACACAATAACTCTCCTTCTAATTGACCTAGAATGTTCAAACTTGATGTAGGTGTTTATTCGGTCAATGCCTTGATGGAGTTCAAAGATGAGCATTTTCTGCTTAGGGTAAGCAGAGATAAGCGATTTGATTGGTTGATGCTTTGGGACACGATAACTTCAGTTCGAATTAAGTGAGAGTGATGAAACTTGGTGTATAGTTTCATTACATCAATACCTTGACTAAATTCGATAATGAGCATTTTCTGCTCAGGGTAAGCAGAGCGATAAGCAATTTGATTGGCCGAGACTTTGGAACACAATAACTCTCCTTCTAATTGAGGTAAAATGTTCAAACTTGGCGTAGTTGTTTATTAGGTCAATGCCTTGATGGAGTATGAAGATGAGCATTTTCTGCTTAGGGTAAGTAGAGATAAGCAATTTGATTGGTTGATGCTTTGGAACACGATAACTTTAGTTCCAATTAAGTGAGAGTGATGAAACTTGGTGTATAGTTTAATTACATCAATACCTTGACTAAGTTCGATATTGAGCATTTTCTGCTCAGGGTAAGCAGAACGATAAGCAATTTGATTGGCCGAGACTTTGGAACACAATAACTCTCCTTCTAATTGAGCTAGAATGTTCAAACTTGGTGTAGGTGTTTATGAGGTCAATGCCTTGATAGAGTGCAAAGATGAGCATTTTCTGCTTATCGTTAGTAGAGATAAGCAATTTGATTGGTTGATGCTTTGGGACATGATAACTTTAGTTCTAATTAAGTGAGAGTGATGAAACTTGGTGTATAGTTTCATTACATCAATACCTTGACTAAGTTCGATGATGAGAATTGCCTGCTTAGGCTAAGGAGCAATAAGCATTTTGATTGGTCAAGACTTTGGAACATAACAACTCTGCTTCTAATTTAGGTAGAATGTTTAAACTTGATGTTGATGTTCGTCTTGACCGAGTTCAGTGATTAACATATGGCGCTAAATCTAAGCAGAGATTAGCAATTTCCTTGGCTGATGCTTTGGGACAAGATGACTTTAATTCTATCTGATAGAGAGTGATGAAACTTAGTGTATAGTTGTTAATCAGTTTGATTACTCGATACTTTTGAAAAAAATAGATGTGCGATTAATTGATAGGTGTCATCTATTTATTTGAGGATTTCGGCGGGGGATATCAGCCTCACTGTTGGCTTGTTTATTTTTAGCTTCCAATTTATTCAAGCCCAGTTAATGAAACCAAATTTGAATATATAGAAGAAGAAATTGGTAGTTTTAGATCAGCTATTTCAGACGTAAGGAAATCAGTATGGAGTTATCTAGACTCAGTAAAGGTAAGATATCAAATGAAATCAGGTTGAACTTCCTACTTTTTGCATTGACTACATTCGCCATATGCCATGAAGTGTGCTATGAGGGACATTTTGCCCAGACAGCTCTGCTACGGTGTAATCTTCAAGGGTTCTTGTAAGTGCACACCATTGTATTCATGAATCCTAGTTTTTATATTCCATCAGAACGACTAGTCACTGTTCCTTGCTAGGCCTTCCGTCCTGCATCACTGACAAGGGGAAACCACACTGGAAAATTCTTTGGAACTTTTGCGGCCAAAACTGTGAATGAAACTATGTACCGTACATGTAGACTCCAAACAAAAATTTATAAAATTTATGTACGTGTATCTATTTTTGAATAGTTGCATTCAGATAAACCTCTTTGAAGATTGAAGAACGAAAAACTAACAATAACTGGGATTCACTAAACATTAAAAACAGTTGATGTTATATAAGTTGAAAATTATGGTATTTGTGGTTAATTTGTTTAGCATATAGACAATAATAATAATAATAGTGAATTCTTAAACTGCATATATACATTCCATCCAAGTTAAATATCCATGGTGCATTTAGACCTCCACTTATCACAAGACAAAGTCAAAAAAAAGATAAATCTCTAACTACTTTGTAAAACATTGTGAATTCTTTATGGTTAACGGTAATGAATTCAATAGCTGTGGTACAGTGTGTGAGAAGTATCTACAACCGACTTTAGTCTGAGGATCACAAGATGACATTCTTTTTGGGACTGAAGACTTCTTTGAGGAGCGTATAATATAAGCATTGAGGACTGTCTATCTTATATAATTTGTGCTTTTGCTTTTTTTATATACTGATTTTATATTACAGGACACTACTGACAGTTTAAAACAGAAATATGAAACTGGAAAAGCACATACTACAGGTATACAAACTGAAGTGTTCTTCTCAATTTCTTAAATAAAATCAGATTCCTGTTTGATTGAAATTAATGAAGATCTACATCTATGAAGGCTATGATTATTTGTAAGAGATTCAAGTCAGCCTACAACATACAAATTGAAGGGTTCTCTATTTCTTTATGTAAAGTCAGATTCCTGCACGCAGATCTTTATATACTTATTTGTAAATATGATACAAATAACTGCAGAGGATGCTGAATGTTGCAAAATTTTCAATTCTTCATATCATTGTAAATACTGAACAGAATTGATCCATTTATTCTCCCAGTCCGTTATGTATAATGGTGAAATATATTAAATTTAAAGGAGCTAAATCGCTAATATTTGGGACCTAGAAATTGACACAAATGGGTCACAAAGCATATAATAATGTAATGTGAATGTATATAAACTGATTTACATTCAACCATATTTAGCGTCTTGTTATTCCAGTCTACGCCGATGATTTTATTGTGCATGCTCTCCAGATAAGAATATAGCGTCACCATTTGACATGACTTGTGGAATATGTCTAGCCACGTTCTTTGAGTCCATTGTTCCAAAAGGCGCTGAAACACATTATGGTACACGATTCATGTACCAATGGTAAAATGTTTATTTTGTCTTGAATATTGGATATCAGAAGCCCATCTTTTCCCTGTAAGATCACAAGACCAATGTTGATTTGAACTGACAAATAATTCGTGTTTTCATGATTTTTGATGATATTGAGTTAGAAACTTCGCTACTTTAAAGATGCCACTTTAATTACGATATTGGGACTCTTAATTGATGAGATGTTGGCACCGTACCACTTGATTGATGCCAGAAGGATGAAACTGTTTTGTTAATGATTATAGTTTGTTGTTTTTATTGTAGAATTAGTAACCTATATACAAGATGATCCTGCTATATTACCTAGAGCTGCTGTTATAACTGTAGCTGGTCTAGGGGGTATTGTGGCTGGTTATAAAGGTGGGAAATATACAAATATATTATAACATTTTAGAAAATCACCAATATTCAGTTCTCACTATAATAGTTAAAAACTAGATAATGTAAAGGGAATTTTCTGAAAATTTCAGTCAAATTGATCCACTCTAGACCAAGATTTTAGTGATTGAATTTTCGACCTAGTCTCAATCATCATTACTATAGTCAGTACAATAAAAAAAACATAGTCTCGATTATCCATTTCATGATTAAATTATGCATGGAAGTCGAACAGGAAATCGGAACCTAGTCCAATAAACATTGCAGGCTAGCGATGGCATCGAGAGTTGATTATGGTCTGAAAAAGTTATAATTAATGTCTAATTAATAATTTAGATAAGATTTCAGGCCTAAAGAAAGACTTGCAATAGGCAGATTTAGCTCTTGCATAATGTATGTTTAAATGATATGGTTTAAATAAAAGTACTATCAACAAGATGTATTTTTTTTATTACAGGTGGTATACTACGTAAAGTTGTATTAAGTAGTTCAGCTATGGCAGCTGCTGCAGCTTTATGTTATCCCAAAGAGGCTGTAGCTTTAACAAATGATATCTATAACGTAACTTATGATGCCGTTAAACCATTATGGGAAGATTCTAGTGAGTGTCTCATTTCCTACTTTGACGATTTTATCATTCATTATCTGTTAAAAGTAGCAATAGTGTTATTAATCTATAAAGACCAGCCATGTCCGGCATTGGCATGGAGTTTTAACATACTATATTAGGATTACTCATCTACAAACTTCTTGCAACTTTCAAACCTCTACAAATACCAGAAATTAAACTGTTAGAATTTTAAAATTAATATGTATATTCAACATTTAGTATAATTAAAAGCTGGTTAATGATGAAAAGTTATTCATTCTTCTGAATATTACTGTTACAGTTGAAATAAAAGCAGGATTTTCAGATAAATATGTTTTTTTTTTTAACTAAGTCACCAATCCTAAATGTGCATTTTTCAGACAATATCTAATTTTTAAGATGTCTAATTTGTGAAGACTTAATCCATGCTAAACTGTACTCAAATTGTTTATTTTAATATCAATGGTAGATTTTATATTGTCTGTAGTAGAGGATGCTGAATGTTGCAGAATTTTTAATTAATCATTTTTTTTGTAAATTTAATTGACTTACATTCACAATATTGTAGTGTGAAAGAGATTCAAAATCTCTCTACTTGTGACCAGTAGCTTAATAGTGTTAGTTTTTCATTACTTTGAATTCTTGATGTTTCTAATTCAAAATAAAACTAAAATGAAAGCTGTTATTGTTTCAGAGATCTTGACTATCTGAATATTTTTCTTTCATTAGGTGCAACAGTGGAAGAAAAGGTAAAACAAACAAAGGAAGTTTTAAATGAGAAAAAGGTAAATTTTACTATTTTATATTTATATACATACACTACTTATGAAACTTTTTTTTGGCTGTGAAGCCTTTTGACATTACATGTATTTTAACAAATGCAACACTAACACTGCATGGTACGTCCACATTGCTGCTTTGATGGAAATGATAGTCTTTAGAATAAAATATGGAAATGAATATCATGCTTATGTGAACAATATCTGTTAACAATTACAGTCTAGAGTCTTTACAGACATGCACGAGAATCATTCGAAATGAATGATCATGCCAAAATCGCTTAAGAATAGCAATCTGGGGGTCAGACATGCACCAAAAGCAAATGGGGCATGTCACAAATTATAAACTGAAAAAGTGGGCGAGGCACCTGCCCCTTGGTGTTGGATCAATATAAATAGGTACGATCTTGTTACTGTACTGATTCATTATGCCAAATTTGAATAAAATCGGTTAATAATTGCAATCTGTAGGATATTTACAGACAAAATATTACTTTAACAAAAAGGTGGGTGCAGCACCACCCCTGGGGTTGGACATGGACCAATATAAATAGTTGCCGTCCTTAGAGTATAAGTTATAAGTATGCCAAGTTTCAAGATGATGCGATAAAAATAGCGGTCTGGAGGCAATGCACACAAAAACTGAGCGTGGCTCTGTGTCAGGGTGGTGGGCAAACACCAAAAACATTGGGAATCATCCTTTGGGTATATGGAATAAGTATGCAGAGTTTCAATATGATCCATTAGGAACTGAAGCCTGTAGACGACCCACAGACATACACCCAGACAGACAGGGGCAACAGCATAAAAAATGTGGAACCCCTTCCTATATTTAAGAATCACTGCTGAAGACCCCTGTACAAGCAAATTATGAAAACAAAGATGTACCGTATGTTAGTCTCATAATGTTAGTTTGTGTTAAGTGGATGTTAAACCCTCTCTCTTATAAAATATTTATCAATTTTTTTTTTTTTTTAGAATGAAGTGAAAGAGAAGATAGCATCTAAACCTGTTGATAAATCGTTAATGGATATGGGTCAGTCAAAGGAAGAAGATAAAGATATGTACACAACTCGTGGTAGTTGATGAGAGGATGTTAGATGATATCGAGACATCATATTATACAAATATCTGATAAAAATAGTCAACTATAAACGGACCACAGGCACTTAAAGGGATTAAAATAAAGATGGCTTCACTCATAATTTTTTTGCTAACTTTGTTTAGACATGTAGTTCTATTAGGTCACCAAGTCTGTGACTATAGCTAATAAGAGATAGCGAAGTAAAGTGACTGGGTAATCAAATATAATTACTAGTCTAACAAAGCTAGTAAAAAAGATGGCTGGTGATGGATATACCTGCTAGATAGTAGAGTATAATACTAAGCAATCTTTGTTTTCATCTCATCAAGGTACCTGTGAAGTGGACATTTATAACCGTAATAATGATAGAAACTATATTGTGTGATAAATTATCAATATTCAATAACAAAAATAGGTTAGAATACTTCCTTGTTTTTACTCCAGATACATGGTTTTCCAAGACCCACGGCATATTCTTTATTGAAATTGCTTTTAAAAAATTGGGGGTGGGGGTGGATGGCCGAATGGTTATCGTGTGCGCATTTTTCGGGTCCTCCGGTTTCCTCCCACTGCTAAAGACACCTACGCGCAAGCGAATTATTGAAATGAAATTGAACCATATGTTAGTCCTGAAATGACCTAGTTTATGTCCAGTGGACATTAAATGCGATTTCTCTTTATCTCTCTTTAAAAAAAATGTGATTATTTTTACTTTCATAAGCCATAGTTGTTAAATTCCATTTGGGCATCATATTAACCATCTTTAATAGAAGGCTTGATCTCGCTTTAACTATGTACATCTTATCGAGGCCTTAACCTACTAGCCTGTATATTTCGGCACTAATTTCGATTGGGTACTAGCCCCTCTTGTGAGCCTATCAGATTCCTTGATCGTCGCCAATACTAAGTCTCGTGCTTTCAAGCTAAAATGTCTACCTGTGATAATCGAGTTCAAGGTTCATTCAATGTCAAGGTTTTCATGGAGGTTGCGATGTCACAACCTCTGATTGGACGCTACTGCTCACGTTTCTGTAGATAACAGATAGCTATAAGTTCGGGAATTGTGAACAAGCAAAGTCCAGATGTTGTAAAACTCAAGGTCGTTGCTTCTAGGAACATGCATATTAACATGAGCAAGCTTTTCAAACCTCAATTATTATTGAAAAGTTCCAAACAGGATTAAGTCTGAAGCAGCAGTTGTTTGTGAACCGGTAATTCGGGAAGGCCCTTACTATTGTGTACTCTGGTATTTTAATTGATATATACACTAGTCTATTCCCAGTTTGAAGCACAATCCCCTGAACTAAAATTCCTCTCCAATTCCTCCACTTAGTTTAGAAATTCCTCCCCAGGGAGCAAAGTTCCTCCCATAGGAGAATAACTGCTCCAGACATATCTAAAATAAGAGTGTAACAGCCCAGATGGACGAATATTTCTTTAACACAATGGAACTACGATCAACAAGATGTTTATCCCCTTTATAAATTCTCTAGAGCAAACCTTTTATGTCCCAACTGTTAGGGGATGCCAGTGGTATAAACAGGACCTCGGTTTTCCATCCCATCCGAATGACTCAACACTTTTCCTTGCCACTGACATGGGGGGGGGAAAACGGGCTAGAAAATCCTGAGGAACTTTCTCAGCAAACATCTGGAACGAACCTAGGACCACCATTTTAACGAGCCAGTGCCATACTTACTGAGTCACTGTGGCCCCCTTTATCCAGCAAAGTGAGCCCCTAAACCACTACAGGTATTCTGGTGTTACTTTTAATACGTTTTTATGCCATCAAAATAAAATATCTATCTACCCTAAAATTTAAAGTCCTGATACTAATACAAAAGAAATGAAATGGGTTTAGTGTCCTACTTTTCTCCACCAACTCGGCTAACGAAGACGGTTATTACAAAAGATACTATAACAGCAGAACTTTTGTGTTTTTAATATATTTATTTAAACTTCGATATATTCTTCATAAAACATCCAACAATCAATAAATTAATATATGGTACATATAACAATAGCCTATACACTTAAATACAATTAGTCCACACCAATTTGAATTTTGTTGTTCTTCAGGAACACCTATTTATTTATTAAAACCCAAAGAAGTAAAAATTCAATTGGTTTGGCCTCAATATTGAAAGATTTAAAACATGGAATGGAATTCATAACTTCAAAACAATATTATAAATTACTTATATATAACTTATACGCCATTAGCACCTGGTACATTAAAATATAGACTAACCCAGCCAGATCCCTGAAAAAAAATTTGTAGCCGATTTTCAAAACCACCCAAAACTACTACTGCAGAGACCGCCTCAAACCACCGTGAGTCAAAGATCTAGTATTCAGTCCTTAGAAAGTTCATAGCTATTCATGCGACTCGGGCACTTTGAGGCGCTAGAGGGAGGCAGTAGTTTTGGGCAGTCCAAGTGCTAAAGGGGTCTAACACAGCTGTTGTATACAAGAAAATAGAGATATAATATTCTAGATCTGTACAACCCTTCAAAGACCAGAAAACGACAGCTTCGGGTAATAACTTACACAAATTACAACCATCTGCTGACAACACCTACATTACAATATCTATTGTTGAAATCAGAAGATTCACAAATCACAGACAAAAAAAACAACATTTGAGTACATGCAGGTACACTTTGCCTTAACTTACATTAAGAGTTTAGCCTTGATATTTTGACAAATATAAACCACTTTAAATATACATGTAGATCATGATTTTAAGACATCAAATCTTCAGTAATTTGAAATCATTTGCAATTTTTGAATCTTGTACATAAAGGGATAAGAGTAATCCCTGAAAATTTTTCAATCTAGGACTGGATCAATCATTTTATTTAATTTCTATGTTAATCCCCCCCCCCCCTCCGGGTCGAAATCCAGCCTGTCCTAATCTCTAATGCTTACGCTCCAGGATATGATATATTGCACTCGATATGAAAATAAGGTACTGAGAAAATATTTCAAATAAAAAACTATTATTAATGAATTATTTACTAAAATTGATGAAAAACAGGCCACCCCAAAAAATTATTTTCCAGGGAGATCTTCTTTATCTATTGGTATATTTAATTGTACATTGGATTTCAAACATATTGGGTACATTTTTACATAACCATAATTAAGTAGTTTATTCATATAGGATGAAAATACTTTATTTTTTTTTTTTTTAGCATGGATCAGACATTAATTTTATAACAACACTATATTATATACACACAACATTTCAATAAGATTTCACTAGTCATTATCAAGCATGCAAAATTACTAATGAGAAAATATTAATAACTAGTGAAATCATGTTGAAACTGTGTACAAATACAGTGATTGTTTGTTATACAGAGAACTGGGTTGTGTCATAAATGAAATGGGTTTTAACCTCCAGCTAGGCTAATGAAGACGGGATGTTGTGTTATAAAATGCCATTCAAAGAATACAGTAATATCATATTTAATTGTGAGTGTGTCTGCTCCCACTTGAAATAAACATCTATATATGAATATATTTACATATAGGTTTATGTATTGCACTGTTAACTAAACTTAACAATATAATTTATATATCAACACACAGTAACATATATATATATAATCTATACAGTGTTTCATGGGGGTGTTTCATTCATAAGATCATTAAATTTCCTATTTAGTTCAATGTAATCTGGGTTCCAAACTTTAAAATCTCTTCCTTCAATATTCACAACTAAACAATATATACATGAACATTATAGAACCAATAATTAACATTAAATTGTCAGACTTTCCATTTACCAGTCCTCTTTTCAGGCACCAGACATTTCCAAGAGCAGTGGTTCTCAGAAGCACAGATCACATTCCTCTCTTTACAAGTTTCCTCACTTCTTCACCCAATAGAAATTTTTTCATCATTATACTTTTATAGTGTTAATTATTCCTAGGGGTGGGGCTGATGTAGAGAAATAGTCACCCTTTGAGCTCCCACTTCACCCAGTACAGCAGGAAGACATTCAAGTCATCATCATGTAATTGGAAAGACTAACATAACATAATGGAATGTAAGTACTAGACCTATAGCGTGATGCCTCACATTATTTATAATCAGAGTCAGGCTTTGGGGCCTAATGGGGAACATTTTTGGTAGGCCTACGGGTTCACAGTCAGGGTCTGTTTTAGTGAATTAAAAGTTAACTTAACATGACTCATTAGGCCGCCATTACCCAAGCCCAAACCCAATAGTGACTGATTGATTCAATTGGCTTAAAGCCGACCCTGTTTATAATTATTCAAATTCAGAAAAATATACAACCCTTATATCTAAATACACATTGTGTCTCATTCATAAATACAGAAAAAAATTAAACCAATAAAATAAATGAAACTGAGATCCATCAAAATCACTTCTCGAGATTATTTTAAAATAAATAAAAACATAAAATGCAATTCCACATGCAGGGTAGATAAAACATTCTGATCGTAATTGTCTTGTATTTTCAGGCCTAATAAGGGCTTTCATTTCAAAATATTGCCAGCCGGTCAGATATTTTATGTATTTTCATTACTTCACATCAGCTAGCAAGATACTTTTTTCAAAGAATACAAGAATTTTTAACATTATTTACACATAAAAATATAAATTTTAACCGTATTTATTGTGTTTTAATGTTATATTCTCTAAAATTCAAATTGTATGACAAGTAAATTGTCTGGCAGGTAAGTTCTCCAGCCAGTCAAATTCACATTTTATTGGTACAAAAAAGTTCAGAAAAATTGACAAATTGTCTCGATGTTACATATTGGCAGCAGTCTCCATTAGAATAACATTTTTAAATTATTCTAATATTAAAACAGATCGTAGGAAATCTACACCATTTCCTCAACTACAATATTACAGGTCACAATTCTATGGAATACAATTACTGTCAAAACTTCACCCAGTATTAAATGAAATGGGGTTTAACATCCTACTTTTTTGCACTAACCGAGGTAATGAAGATGGTTGCTCAGTGTTAATTCTATTCCAGTATATACTATATACTTCCATTTCAATTAATAAATGTCATTTAAACAAAAACTATCATTGCTTGATAAAGACTACAGAAGCCAAATCGAAAAGTCGCTTAGTAATAAGCAGTAATTGTATTCCATAGAATTGTGACCTGTATATTCCAGTTCAATTACTAAATGCCATTGAAACAAACTAAAATATCCCTTTCCTTTAAACTGTGTATTCTAAACTAGGTATTATAGCCAGTTAATCAATTTACTACTACAGCAGGAAGACTATAATATTTTGGCTGGATAATCAGGAGAAATATGCAGTAAAGTGTGGTGCTATTAAACTATAGTAGCTAAAATATTTTCATATAAATCATTCTTATATCTATTTATATTCCAAGAAAAACACAAGAGACTGACTTGATGA